ATATGGTCACCGACATGTTTGTCAGCCTGAGAGGCGCTTTGGCTTACGCCTTAATCACGCAGGTGCGGTTGGTGGCATGCGTTGCGCCCCTGCAGCTCGTCCAAGAACCGACCGACATGCAAGTGCGACGACTGAGCGCGATTACCAGGCAGTTTGTATGCTTGCCCTAAGACGATCGCCTATCGATCGATGGATTTAATGGGCGAGGTCGACCTGCTCAGCGACTCCGGCTACCGGGGTTTTAGTGGAGATGCCGGTGACGAGGTCGAAGGCTATGGAAGTCGCGGGGCAAACCTGCTACGGCGTGGAAACGCGCCTGCTAGTATGCCTGTTTTCCATCTTATCGATGCGTACTGCCAGTCTCGCCGCTCGCAGGTCCGCTCGAGCTACTCAGAGGAAACACTAGCAGCAGCCCACCACTCGGGGGACTGCAATCCCACGATCGTCGCTCTGCGCGAACTCCACGCAGGGCCGCTGACACCCATCCAGTGGGAAGATATACTGGAGATGGGCGGCCTGAGCATTAAGGTCGTTCTGACCATTGATGCGGAATCTGCCTTCAAGTCCTTGTCGAGCAAAGACCGGCAGAAACTGACTGAACGCGCCCTTTAAGGGCGCATCAGTTGGGCGCGACAGATGATGGGGCGAGGTGTCGCGCATTGCGCGGGCGGCCGCGCCAGAGGGGGCGTCGACCGAGATGTGCTCTTACAGGTCATGGGGGGAACGCAATCCTGCAAGCGCGACTTCAAACGCCATGCTCCGTGCAGGGCTGGCCGGACAAAATCGTTTGAGGCCGCCTGGGGAGCAATCGCCCGCAAGGTGATCTGCCTGCGAGGCAACTTGCTTGCAAGGGCGCTTGCGCTCGGGTCAACCTTCCTGTTGAGCCCGCCTGCTTTGGAATGAAGGTAATATGCGCAGGTTCTGGTATGTGGAATAGTTTCAAAGTAGGGGGAAATTAGGTTGCGAAAGTAGATTGTTATCCCATCTTCAACATATATACATACACCATAGGAGTAGGCCCGCCGCAGGCGCCGAATCTACCACCAGACAACCAATTTCGATCGCAAGCCCGCCGCAGGCGCCGATTTGGATTGAAACCTGAACCAACATGAGGATGGCGAGCCCGCTGCAGACGCCGATTTTATCGCCAGAACGCGAATTCTTGTCGCAAGCCCACCGCAGGCGCGGATTTTTCATTGAAGCGATAAAAAACATGAGGGCGGCAAGCCCGCCGCAGGCGCCGATTCTATCGCCAGAACGCGAATTCTTGTCGCAAGCCCACCGCGGGCGCCAATTTTTCAGTGAAGCCTTAAATGGAATGAAGATCGCGAGCCCGCTGCAGGCGCCGATTTTTTCCAGAGCCACGGGGGGCGCAAGCCCGCCGCCAGCGCCGATTTTTTCTTGCACCGAAAGGGCCCTTCCCCTCCCACGACGCCGCGGAGGCCCCCCCATTGGCGGGCCTGCCGCCCCCCCCCTTGCCAGAATAACAAAGAAATAACGGAGCGACTTGCCGACCTCAGAGCAACCAACACGCGCGCGACTTGAAACGAATTCGCGTGGGCGGAACCCCCTCCACACTCCGATGTTGGCCTCTCGGGGCCTTCTTCGGAGGACTCTTGAGAGCTCTTGCGGCTTCTTTGGGGCCTCTTGCGGGCCCTCTTGGGGGCCCTTATTGCCTCTCGGGGCCTCGTTGGGTGGGCGGGTGTGTGTGGGGGGGATTTTCGCATCCGGAGGGGTCGCAAAATTGCTTCCCACAGATCATGCGGAAAGGCGCGGGGGGCCCGAGAAGATTTCTGAGTTTGGGCACCAGGTCCTTCAAAGAATTTTGAAGACAGAGGACTGAGGCTCAAGAGTGAGGTAGATGACGTCGGAACACGCCCGCTCCGTGCCTCAGGGCGTTGTGGCGCTTTGGGTATTCGAAGATCTCTGGCTATCTGGAGCCGTATCGCGGGCCGTCTTGAGCCATGCCGCATGCGGGGGCAATTTTTGAGCCATCGCGGGCGCTTTGATGGACCTGCTATAAGGGGGTCCGGGACAAGGGTCGCGCCCATCCCCGACAAGGAATTCGCTTGAGAAGGCAGGGATCGCCGACAGGGCCGACGGGATGCACTGTTGGGCCCCGCTACAAGAGTCACGCCGCCTCGTTTGCGACCCGCGCGGCTGCGCGCTTCGTTTGGTGTTGCGCCCCCGCCCGCCCCCCCGCCCGGGACGGCCCGCCTCTCTACCCAGTGGTGTTTGCGGCAGGGGGGTGGGGCAAGGCTCTTTGGGATGGGGCGGCAGCAATCCGCCGCAGGATTCCCGGCGGCGTCGCGCCGTTTCACCTTGCTCCGGCCGGCGGCCCCGGGGGGCGCATCATTTCGCTTCTTTTTTAAAAAATTAAAAAAATATATTTTTTCTACATTTTCAATCGTTTCGGCTGTTTTTTTTTTCCCCCGCATTCATTGTATAATTTATGCAAAAAAAAAGGCGCCCAGCGAAACTTATTTTTTTGTTTATTCTGCCTTTATTTTATGTCGAATAAATAGCGAACAAATGTCGACAAAAAATAGCGAAACACAAGGTGCGCGGAATTCTCTGTTTCGGCCACCGGAAAAATAGCGAGAACATATTTTAAAAATAGGCGCCGCAAAAGTCCCCGGGGATGCACCTTTTTTCCCGCTATTTTTTTTGTTTTTTTCGTTGTGTTTTCGCTATTTCTTTGCCCGCCCCTCCTCCTCCCCCTCCTCCCCCCCCCCCCCTCTCCGCCTCCTCCTCCCGCCTCCCCTCCTCCTCCCCTCCTTCCTCCTCCCCCCCCCCCCCCCCCCCTCCTCCTCCTCCCTCCCCCCCCCCTCCTCCCCCACCCATCCTTCCTCCCCCCCCCCCGGCCACGCCGCCCAATAGGGGGGCCTCCGCGGCCTCGTGGGAGAGGAAAAGGATTTTTGTTGCGCAAGACAAAAACCGGCGCCTGCGGCGCTTGTGATTTCTTCATGGTTCTTGAAATAATCGGCGACGATCGTTTTCATCCGCGTTTTTAATGACAAGTCGGCGCTTGCGGTGGGCTTGCGCCATGAATTCGTTTTCTAGAATTTACTTTCTGGTGAAAAAAATCGGCGCCTGCGGCGGGCTTACCATCTTCATGCTTGTTGCGGCTTCAGTTTTTAATCGGTGCCTGCGGCGGGCTTGCAATCAGAATTCGTTTCCTGATCATAAGATCGGCGCCTGCGGCGAGCTTGCCATCTTCATGCCGGTTTTGGCTTCAATGCAGAATCGGCGCTTGCGGCAGGTTTGCAAACAGTATCCGCTCTCTTCTTCTAAAAAATAGCGTCGTTTGCGGGTTTGCGATATCAATGCTGATTTTTGATTTGATTCAAAATCGGCGCCTGCGGCGGGCTTGCGATAAGACCACAGCGGTCCCCGCCAAGCCCAACTCAGCACCTTCACTCCTTTCCGCATCAGCGGGGGTGGGGGCTGGTGTTCGTGGATGCAGCAAGCCTGCTGCGGCAGGGTTTCCACTCGTGGGGGATGCTCGAAAAATGTCCACCCCCCTCCTCCTCCTCCTCGTCCTCGTCCTGCTCCTCCTCCTCCTCCTCCTCCTCATTCCCCTCCTCTTTTCTTCCCCCTCCTCCTCCTCCTCCTCCTCCTTCTCCTCCTCCCTTTACCCCTTCTCGTGTTCGTCGCCGTGGTCATCCTCGTCAAACTCCTCATGTTCTTCCTCGCCCTCCTCGTCCATATCCTTCCTCCTTATCCTCCTCTTCCTCGTCCATATCCTTCCCCTCCTTCTCCTCCTCCTCCTCCTTCTGCTTCCTTTGTTTCAATGCGATTCGCCATGCGATGTCACGCAACCTCTCCGGCTGGAACTCACTTTCTACTGACACTTGCGCCGTTGCAGTTTCTTTCCCTTTTCTCTGCTTTGCCGTCGTGTCGCCGCCGCCGCTGCCGTTACATTCGGGGCCTCGTATTTGTCTGTTATTTCTGGAAGAACATACTTCAGCGGCCTAATTTTGACATATTTCACATCACTCATTTTTCCACACTTTCACGCAATTAAACTGATTCCTGGATTCTGAGGCTGTCCATTAGTAGCTGCATTTTAACGCCTGCTGCTGCCTGCCTTGTGTCATAGTGTTTACTGTATAGCGGGCGGCGGACTCACGCTTCGTCCCCATCCCCCCCCGACTCTAAGAAGGAGGGTGGAACAAAGGCGCGAGATAGCGAGCGTTTGTCCGCGGCCGTTTGTTCTCAAGCGGCTGGCCGCCAGGATATGATTGCGCCTCATCGCGAGGCGCGTTACTTGCCATTGAGACCGAGAACATTTTCGCTTTGCATGGCCCGTCGCTGCCGCGACGATCTCCTACTTCTCGGGCTATCGTTGCTACGGTGCAACAGGGCTGATTATGGGCTTCGCCTCGTGCGAAGCTGCTGGTTGGGCCTTCCAGCCCCCTTCGATTTTTTTGAGCATGTTTCAGCCATTTGTGGTTCTTCGTCCAAAACCCGTTTGTAGGAGGGCGCGCCCGACCTAGGGCTCGGTGGGGCGCCCTTCGCTTTCGGTTGCCAGTTATGTTCGCGGAGGCGGTGAGCGGGGGCGCGCGGGCACACAGACCGCGCTAGCCTTCACAGGAGGACATGTGATGTGTGGTGCAGCGCCTTCGCCTCCCAGCCCCTCCTTGCCCCTTCCCTCCTTCCGGTCCCCACTCGCATTCCGACTGGCTCACTCGCTCACGCTCGGACTCACCCATTCAGACTCACAGTCAGATTCGCATGAGGGCCCCCAGAGGCTGAACATGGCCAGTAATCTTTTGTCGTCTTACGGCGGACATGTCCCTCCGGACTCTACAGGAAAAAACTTCAAAAACCGTCCAAGGATAGTCAGAGGGCGACTTTTCGCTAATGGTTGACTATTTTTGAATATGTTTTGACCATTGTTTGTTTTTGTTGGAGGACATGCCCGACCAAACTGTCGTCGCCCTGATGATACGCGAGGCTGGCAGGGCCCCCCCTCCCTGCCCCAGCCGCCCACCGAGGCCGTCGCCAATCTGCACCAGACCAGGGTCGGCGACGGCGACCTCGTCGAGGAATGCATCGTGGAATGCCGCCAGTGGCACCCGCGAGGCGCTCTGCCCCCGGCGGGCGCCCCGCCAGCCCTGCCCGTGGGTGCTGCTGCTCGCCATCTCCTCCTCTTCCTCCTCCTCCTCCGCCTCCTCCTCCTCCTCCTTGTCCTCGTCCTCGCCGTCGTCGTCGTCGTCCTCCTCCTCCTCCTCCACCGCCTCCTCTTCCTCCTCTTCGTCGAGGAGTCAGGGGGGGGGCCCCCGGCTCCCCCCTGGCCTGGGCCTCCCAGGTCCGGGGGCTGACGGCGATGTAGGCCACGGCGATGCAGCTTTCGGTAAGGAGGAGGAGGAGGAGGAGGAGGAGGAGGAGGAGGAGGAGGAGGAGGAGGAAGAGGATTGATGGAACAGAGTCCCTCGCCGCCGCGCGCCGGCGACGAGGGGGGACCCCGCAGAAACCCAGACAGGCATCCGTCGAGACCCTGGCCTGCCCCACGGGCCAGCCAGGGGAACGAAAGCCACCCCCGCCGGGACGCACGGGCAACCAGACGGCCCCCAGAGGCCGCCCCCAGGGAGGGGACAAGGGAACGCGCACCAGCGCGAGCCCCGCCGCCAAGATTTCAAGGCGGACCCAGCAGACAGAGCGACAGAGCGAGGGCCCCCGCCTCACAGCCCACGGGCCGTCCACCGCGCAACACCTGCGCAAGCGCGGGCGCCGCGCGCGGCACAGCTTACGGATGCGCGAGACTCCCATCCAAGAAGACCTCGTTCAGCACCTCGCGGAGGGCGCTCGCGGTCTCGGGGCCCTCGATCGCCAGATACTTGATGTCGCGGCGCAGGCAACGCACGGCCAGGATGGTCCGCAGCCTCCCCGTGTCGAGCGCGTCCAGGGGGCTTAAACGCCCAGGCAGCGCGCGGATCTGCTCGATCAGCTTCACGCGCTCGGCCGCCATGGCACCGCCCTCCGCGTCCAGAACCTCGTTGAAGCGGACGCTGTCGCCCTGCGCCGCCATCTTGATATGGAGCACGCTGCCATGCGACGTGGATGGGGCCATCTCCATCACCCGTCGTGCTTCGCACTCGTCGAGCTCCTCCACAACTCCGTCCTCCACGTCGACGGCCATCAGGGTGGCGTCGCACAGGTCCCCCGCCCAGCGCCTGCGCGATACGATGGTGCCGCCCTGCTCCTTCAACACCACCATCTGCTCCTCTGCCTCAGCGCAGTATTCCACGAAGTCCTCCGTGAGCTGCACGGCCTTGACCACGACCTTGTCCTCCAGCTCCTCGTCGCATTCTTTCGTCTCGGAATTCGGAACCTTCGGCGGCATCACGAGGTGTGGGAAAGGCGGCACCTCGCCCAGCTCCCTGCTGGGGACCTCCGCACGTTCCTCGTACTCGTCGTCGACGCCGCCCTCGACGCCCGGCGCGGCCAGGACGTCGGAGCCGTCACCCTTCGTCCCGTCGCAGTCCTTGGCAAGCGCCACCTTGTAGGACCACGCCTGCCCTCCGCGATCGCGTCGAAGGGCTTGTCCACATCCTCGTACTCGTGCTCCAGGAAGGTCTCCGACTCCGCCCCAGTGGAGATGCTCCCGTCGTACCCGTCCGCGTGGGAGGACAGGTCGAAACAAGCGGGCTCCGAGGACTTGGCGTCAGAGCCCCCCGCTGCGACGAGCCCGTCCTTGCCGCCCTTGATGCGCTGCCTGCCTGGGATGACGTCCGCCTGGGCGGGAAGACTCATCCAAGCCACCGCCCCCGCGACAATCGCCTCGGCCTCCCCGCGGTGGCGAATGAGGGCGCTCGCCGCGTCAAGAACCCTCCAGCTGCGCGCCAAGTGGGTAGGCGGCCGCCGCCCGCCGTCACGGAGGCTCGACAGGCCTTGTGCGAGCGTGCCGCCGCCAACGGAGGCGACCCTGCCTGCGGCAGCCCCCAACACCCGTTGGGCCTGCCCGCCCAAGCTCGCCCGGCAGCTGGCCGCCTCGGCCGTGCCACCGGCTTCCTGGCCTCCGTTGAGCAAGAGCATGAGATGCGCTGCCTGCTGGGCATCCCGCGCATGGGCCATCGAGGCACCGTGGCCGACAACGATCCCGCCTCGTCCGCCTGCGCCGCCGCGCGCCGTGGAGGCGCCGCGGCAGTCGCGCGCAACCCGTGGGGCAGCGCGCGCGCCGAGAAGTAGGGGCGCGGGCGGGTGGCGCACCTCCAGAGCCCAAACGGCTACGGAGGAGGAGGAGGAGGAGGAGGAGGAGGAGGAGGAAGTGGAGGAGGAGGAGGAGTCTGCTGTCTCCCGATCGTCGTGCTCGGGCGTTGGGAGAGGCCCGCGCGCGCCTGGAGGAGCGAGGCGGGATGGGGGCGAACGCGTGGCTCGCACTCTCCTGCCATTCTCTTGTGTCGTGTGCGCTGGATCCATTCGCGCAGTGGAAATGTAGGAAAGCTGGGGGCGGGGGCCATGATATCGTGGCGGGGGCCATGATATAACACCAGATTTCATGGCGCCTCTTCCTATTCAATCGCTTTGCTCATTCCGCTGGCCCATGTTGCATGATCGCTACTGCTTCGCCGTGGGCCCGGGTCCATTGCGGCGCCGCCGAGGAAGAGGAGGACGATGAGGATGGGGAAGGGGAGGGCAGGAGGAGGAGAGGATGAGAAGGAGAGGAGGAGGATGAAGATAAGTAGGTGGAGGAGGAGGAGGAGGAGGAGGAGGAAGGGGCGGAGGAGGAAGCCTCTCGTTGTCATCTTGTGTTGCTCTTAGGGCCAAAAAGGGTCGTCGTCAAGATGCTTCTTTGGGAGGCCTCTTGGGGTCTTTTGAGAAGCCGTTCGGGGGCGCCTGGGAGGCATTTATGAACTTCTGGGGCCTCTTTGGGCCTCTTTTGGGCCTCCTGGTGCCTCTTGGCGGCATCTTGGGGCCTCTTGGGGGCCTCTGATGGGCCTCTCGGGGCCTCCTGGGGCCCTCTTGGGGCGGAAGGCTAGAATTTTCGGTTCGTGGTCCCCCTCTTGGGCTCCTCTTGGGGCCGTCTTGGGCCCCTCTTGGACCGTCTCGGGGCCCTCTTGGGCCCTCTTGGGGCCCTCTTGGAAGCCTCTTGGCCCGTCTTGGGGCGCTCTTGGGGGCCTCTTGGGCCGTCGTAGCGCATCGGATGGCCGAAACCCGGCAAGGCCAAAATCCTTGCGAAACCATAAGATTTATGATGTTGGCCTCCCGGGCCCTCTTGTGAGGCCTCTTGGAGGCCACTTGGAGGCCTCTTGGGCCGTCTTGGGGTCATCATCGGCGCTCTTTGGGCGTCTCGGGGGCCTCTTGGGCGGTCTTGGAGACCTCTTGGGTCAGGAGGGGGGGTAGTCGATTGCGCCCCTCCCCTCGGAGGCCACGGTCCTCATGAGGGGTGTCGAAAAATTGCCCGGTCTAGCATCTCTGATCCGAGTGTCACGGGGGTGTCCCAGGGGTGTCCCGGGGGTGTCCCGGAGTACTTTTCGTCCGGGGATCCCCAGGGGCGGCCCCGCGCGCGCGAACTAGAATATTGTTAACCAGTTACCGGAGATCTTAGCACGCCCTTGGCCCGTTGGGCCGGCGAATTTCAACACGCCCCTGGCCCCCAGCCCCCCCTTGGGCCGCGCACGTGCCGCCGGCCATGATTTGCGCCTCCCCTCTTGGACGCCCCCCGCTTGGCCGCCCCCGAGAAAGTGTGGCTCGTGATTTCCCGCAATCGGTTCCCACTGTCGCCGTTAAGCAACAGCGCCGTTAGCCCGGCCTTGGCAGATGGGGTCCGAGTAGACGGGGTCGCAGGGCCGCGCCGCATCGCCGATGCATCGGCGATACGGCTCGATGTGGAGCCCGATCTTCTCCACGCCTGCGTCGCCGATGCACTGCTGATGTCGCAAAGGCATTGTCGATGCATCGTTGATGCATCGCTGATGTGGCACGATCTTCTGACCCCGTTCTCTGAGACCCCATCTAGGAGGCCTCTACTGACTCTACCCGAGGGAGCGGTTTTCGGGGATCCTGGGTCGAGGAGAATCTGCACGATTTTGAGCGTTTCCGGAGGTTCGGGGGGAGGGGGGGGGGGCGCAGAGCTGGGGTTCCTGAAGGGTTTGTCCTCCACGAGGTGGCGACCCTCCCCCCCCCCTGGCGGTGACCTCCCTTGGCATCGCCTGAGGTTGGGTGGGGTGACGAGTGTCGACAGCCCCTGTGTGGCACCCTGACCCGGCGATCGGCTTTGACCGCTCGCGACAGACATGTCGTGCCCGCCGCTGGCTTTTCGTCTAAATTACGGTCAGCGCGCACACTGGAACATGTCTGGGGGTCGACTCTTGACCCCAGACCCAGACCCCTCGCGTCGTGACAGAAAACGACGGGAGTTTCTGGCTATGTTCGACCTCTCGGGGGGCCTGTTCGGTGGCCGTCATGAATCGGCGCGGGATTTGCTCCGGGAAGGTTGGGGTGGGGAACCCAAGCATACCTGTGGCAAGGGGTACACACCCTACAGTCGACCCACATACTAAGGATGGGCAACTTTCCCAAGGGTACAGTTGCATCCTTGCCTCCTCGGTCCATCCTTGACCACCTTCGTTGGCCGCGCCCCGGTCGAGAAGCTTCGACTTGCGCGTCCTTATCGCGCATCCTTCTGGTGGGTGCCCATGCCAAGAAGCACCTTGCTTGCCTCCAGGGTGCCCTGAGTTTCGTGGGTGCTGATGGTTTTGCGATCGAAAGCGCGTCGCTCCCACGCCAGCGATCGATGGGCGTCCTGGGGTCTCAGGGTTGGGTTTCTTGTGGGCTCGCCTCCAGTTGTCTGTAGGGAGCTCCAGTGGCTCCCACCCAATCTCGCATTGCCCCATCCATGCCTCCTCGGTCCATGCTTGACCACCTTCGGTGGCCGCGCCCTGCTCGAGAAGTTTCGACTTGTGCGTCCTTCTCGCGCATCCTTCTGATACGGGCCGACTGTAGGTCGCACTCAGGGGCGCGAAGCCAGTCGCGCTCTGCGCGTCGCGGCTTGGGCCTGGGAGTCGTGCCCTTCCCCGGGTCGGCCCCACGAGGGTGCGAGGACAAACCGCGCGGCTCGCAGCGCGGGGCGCGCCAGGCTC